CTGGCCATCCATTTCCTCGGCTTGGGCATCTGGGTCCAATTTGTTGAACCTCGGTGCAATCAAGATGACATGAAGGTGTGGATATGGGGTAGAAATCAGCTAATTTAGACTGGTTGCTTCCTCGCGAGCATTTCGAGCCTCTTCTTGTGACCCTTGAGGTCCTTGAGCAGCCTCTGGGAATCATCATCAGAAGCATCCCCCATATCAAAGATCAGGTCCGTGATGCCATTCACACTCTTCTTGAGCTCCTTGCCTTGCATTTGACAACCAGAACACCGCCACTGACTATATGACAACGACAATGCAAGAGAATCTTAAAGTGCAACCTAGCAGCACCACTTTGCATGCTTGTCTTTGGAGCACTTGAAAACCTCATTGATCAAGGAGCTTGCTTTAACAGTGGTCGCCGTAGATCCTGCAACCGACCCCGCTCGTCGTGACGTGGCTTTCGCTGCCGGCCGTCTCTGATTGCGTCCAGCACCTCACTGGGTTCAGGATGTAGGCCCCTAGATATGGAATCAAAACATATCAAAACCATATCTCGCTGTCTCTCTCTCTCTCTCTCTCTCTCTCTCTCTCTCTCTCTCTCTCTCTCTCTCTCTCGGTCTATCTTCGGGTGCTATGGTCTTTGTGGAATGTTACAATATCTCGAGGTTTGGGTAACACTTGAAATATTCGGTCCCCACCTGCTCCACTTGCCTCTTGCAGTGCGAGCTGACTCAACTCGTCCTTGCGCTTGTCGAAAGCCCTCAGGACATCGGCCTTCAGCGGTGCTTGCTGGGTCGTGGCAGCCTTCTTATTGAGGAGGCCCGGATCGGCACCAGGAATAGGAGCATCAAAGAATTGTGATCCCGGACGACAGTTCGCTTTGAAGTTCTGCTTCAGCCTTCAGTGACTAGACAGAATACAACAAGCAGGCCTGCACATGTTCATGCTAAACATCCAATGCAAGCCGTGCTCCTGTACTCGGTGCTTTCCACCTGGGTGCGGCCCACTATACACCAGTATAAGGTGTCAGGAAGAGAATCTGGCGCTTGTTCATCACGTTCCCCCACTTGCGTTGCAATTATGTGTTGTATTTTCTGCCTTAGCTGCAGATTGCAAACATGGTGAAAGGAGACAGAATGTAGAGCTTGAGCGAATCGTTATAATTTGCTGCCGAAGTACTCGCTAAAGTAGTGGGGCTTTCTGTGCATGTTCTTCACAGGGATCTGCATCCAGACTTTCTCGCCACGCACACCGGACTCCTGCGAAACCTCGATGGCGCTCTCGCAAGCCTGCAAGTTCTGGCCCGAAAGCACCCAGTTGCGCAACAGCTTGCGCTTCTCCTCAGCACAACCACCGATCATTCGAGCCATGTTGGTCGATCACGACACACACAAACACAGACACTTGCACCCACCCACACACACACACTTAAGTAGACCTCTCTCTCTCTCTCTCTCTCTCTCTCTCTTGCTCTCGGCACTCACCCTATGTCTCTCTGACTCTCTGCTAAAGTTGAACTATGCCATAAAGTAGGAAATTAGAAAAAACCTAATCGAGTTTAGATGAAGTGTCAACACAGATATAATGTTGTTAAATTAGGCTAAAGTAGTCAGGCCAAGATATAATTTGGCGAGCGACATCCAGGGTGCCCTCCTGCAACGCCAGCATGCTCGGGTAGTTGGCCAGTGCTCCAGCATCATGCAATCGGTTCTTAGCAGATATAATAGGCACACCTTCTAATGCTTGTCGGGGGAGAAATATTCAGGGATCTATTCAGCAAAGCGGCGAGTTTGGCATATTCTTTTCGGTGCGTAGCAGATGAAATCCTCTCAGACGGCTCCTCCAGCTTGACATCTGACCCATCCGTTGGCATCTCCGTTGGTCTTGGAACCGGCTGGGCTTGAGTCTTGATCTTTATGTCGCTCAGACAGGCGGGAAGAGCATGGTTCGCTGGGGCAGGCGACGGCGAATCGTGGAACACATGCACCTTGGCCCTGACAGGCGTAGCCACAGGCTTTGATGCAGCGGGTTCTTTCGAAGCGTCTTCGGGCACGGGGTCCTTTGTTTCCGAAGTGGTACTTTTCGAGTCGCTGCTGAGCTGCGACTGAAGTTCGGCCTTTTCCAGTTCCAACTGCTGCACACGCTGCAACAGCACGCTCATGTCAAGTGCACTTGCAACTTGGCTTGCCGAGGGCCCGAGATCGCTGAGATTCGTCTGGGAGTCCTGGCGGTCCTTGTTGGTGAGGCGGCTTGCGTGCAGCCTGGCTTGACTGTCCACAAAGGTACTACCAGACCTCAGACGCGATTGTGCATGTGATTAAATTGATCGCAACGGAAGTTGAGTATGTGAGACATCATGTATACATTGCAATCAAAGCACACTTGGCTATCATTCGCATCACCACGGGGCGGCTCCGGCCCAGGCAGTGCCAGCAGGCACTGTGCATCCGGCCCCGACTTAACTGCTGGCACAGGAGTCACGGGAGCAGAATTTCTGTGAGCCTTCAAAGCAGCGTCCAGCTCACTCTGTTGAGGAAGTCCTTGTCTCCATAGGTCGTACTCATGGCAGAGCTCATCCCAATCCTTGAAAAGGGCACTGTCCTCGTCGTCTTCCTCCGGGTTGGGGTTCTCGGGGATCTGGTCTGCTTCTGCGTCTTCGGGGATCTGGTCTGCTTCTGCGTCTTCGGGGATCTGGTCTGCTTGTGTGTCTTCGGGGATCTGGTTTGCTGCACCAGTCTTACCTCTCAGTCGCTTGGACGGCGCCTCGAGCACCTCAGCCTCAGGTTCATGCACAAAAGCTCCTTTGCGCTTCAATGGTGGAGGAGCCTTGGCTTTAGAAGCTTTGGCTTTCGGAGCCACAGAGCTTCTCTTGCCAGTGTCCACAGAATCGACTGGAGCTTCAGACGGGGGCTGCTTTCTGGATTTCTTACCGGCTTCCTTGGCTGGGGGCTGCTTTCCGGATTTCTTATCGGCTTCCTCGGCTTTGGTCTTCTTGCGCTTCGGCTGGGGTTCATCGGCTTCGGCCGGGGCTGCTGACTCACCTGCTGAGGAGTTCGTGTTGGCTTTCTCGGCTTTCTTGGGCTTCTTGGAAGGCTTCTTCGCCAGGGACTCATTGAAAGCAAGGAAAACAGTAACGGCATCAGGGTAGCTGAGCTTCTCTTTCTTCATCATGTCACCCAATGTCATATCCGCCACTCCCACTGGCGTTGTAAGTGGGATGCTGGGGGGCCTCCATTTGGAGGAACTGGAAGGTGCAGCTGTTTTGTGATCCCGCAATGCTTCCTTGTACTTCAAGCCACGATCCAGAGCCTGTTTCGTGGCCTTCATGATAGAGCTGACTAAAAGATCTTCCTGCCTTCTGCAGGGAGCTATAGACGGCTTCGCGGCAGTGTTCGATGCTGTAGATTTGTAAAAAGCACAGATTCCACGCGATTTAACGGTCAAGTGGCCTGGATTTAACGTACATTGGCACATTTTCCACGCGACGACTTTTGCTGTGGATTGAAAGATCCTAGCTAGTCCGAATTAGTGGCATTGCCCCAATCCAAGCAAAGCAGCTCTATAACTCGATCTATATATGTATACAGCTAGCTAGGTATAATGAGGGACAATTGAATGCAGGGATTGTGCATGGGAATTCCACACAAACAGCCGGACTATACAAGCCGACCATCTAATTGAGGATTCCAGCTGCAAACGGGCCGATGCCAGCAGCAATGTCCTCGCTGCATGGGCGACACGGGGCTGGTCTGCAAAGTTCGAACCCCCGAAACATAAATTTAAATGCAATCATGGCACAGCTTCTGAAGGCTGTGTTCGGTCCCGGGAACTCTTGCAAAGAAGCCTCAGATCGAGCTATGTCGATGCGTTTTGGTGTGTTTTCGTGAAATTCATTGTGTTCCCGAGGTCTCGTGGACTTCTGCGCTTTTTTGCGCTTTTCTGCGCTTTTCTGCGCTTTTTTGGTGTTTTCCAATGGGTTTCGTGCGCTTTTCTGCGCTTTTCTGCGCTTTTCTATGGTTTTGCAATTGATGGTGCGCGTTTCGTGGTTTTTCGTGGAAGGCTGTTGCTCTTGTTGGTTTTGCAGCTTTTGACTGTGGTTGGAAGCGAGAGGAGCGGAGAGGAGGGAGAGGGAGAGGGAGAGAGAGAGGGAGAGGGAGAGGGAGAGGGAGAGAGGGAGAGGGAGAGGAGAGGGAGAGGGAGAGACCCACACCCACCCACACCCACACCGCTACAAAACTCCCGAAAAGCAACCCCCCTCTCCCGGCCCGGGAGAGGGGGGTTGCTTTGAGGCATTTTTGAGAGGAGGGAGAGGGGAGGAGGGGAGGAGGGGAGGAGGGGAGGGGAGGAGGGGGAGGAGGAGGAGAGGAGGAGGAGACGATGCGAGCAAGGAGGGGCCACACCCACACCGCTACAAAACTCCCGAAAAGCAACCCCCCTCTTCCGGCCCGGGAGAGGGGGGTTGCTTTGAGGCATTTTTGAGAGGAGGGAGAGGGGAGGAGGGGAGGAGGGGAGGAGGGGAGGAGGGGAGGGGAGGAGGGGAGGAGGAGGAGACGATGCGAGGCAAGGAGGGGAGAGAGGACAGGAGAGGCTCGAGAGGAGAGGAGAGGAGAGGAGAGGAGAGGAGAGGAGAGGAGAGGAGAAGAGAGGAGAGGAGAGGCTCGAGAGGAGAGGAGAGGAGAGGAGAGGAGAGGAGAGGAGAGGAGAGGAGAGGAGAGGAGAGGAGAGGAGAGGAGAGGAGAGGAGAGGAGAGGAGAGGAGAAGCGGAGCGGAGCGGAGCGAGGAGGGCAAAAAAGAAGAGAGCACTCACACAGTGCAGATATGTATAGTGCAATCCGACTCAGCCAAGGCACTTCAATCGATCTCGGAGACAATCCTGAGCTTTGGGCTGACTTAAAGGGTCCAGGTTTAGAGTTGCAGTTGTCTCGTGGATGGCTGCATGCACTGCTGCAAAGCTAATTGGAGAAGCCGGCTTTTTCCTGCACCAAAGCTTGCGCATGTGGGCCGGGTGCGCACTATTTGTCGTCGTCTGATGCACTGCTGCTGGAAGCGTACACTGCGGAGCCGAGGACCAAAGTCGAGGCATTGGATGGCGACCGAGATCTGCGACGACGTCGTGCCTTGGCCTCCACTTTTTCACTGGACTGAGTCTTACCCTTGTCCTTCTCCGCCAGAATCTCCATAACAATGCGCTTCCTTCGGAGCTCCGCGGTCTCACTCTGCACATCCTCTTCTAGCGGCTCACTCTTTACTGCAACGACTTCCTTGTCCTCCTTGCCCGAGGAGGATGCTGCCGCTGCTGCCACCGTTGCCGCTGTTGCCGCTGCTTCTGGCTTCTGTGGCATGTGCTTCGACGACGGCTTCATGGTAGCACAAAGATCGAAAAGGGGGATCGACAGGGCACAGCTATTCTTGATCCGGAACTGGCGGGCATGTCACATCTGCTGTTTTGCTGAAACGTACCTGCAATTATAATAAAGGCCGAGGTTCCCATTGGCCTTTCAGAACCACGTCTTTGGACCGGAGGAGGTAGTGGCCGCATTCCGGTAGTCCAGCCTGGGATGATTAATTAAGCATAGACGATATATCAGAATCACAGCTTTTTCAAGTATTGAGCCTAGAGGCCTCCAGGCTCACCGGGCAGCTCCAGGCACCAGCAGACAACCGGTCGGAAAATAATTCATAATCCGATTTGCCAAGGTCCACATCGGTGTGACAACGAGGTCCTGGCATCTGATCCTTGGCACATAAAGAATTATGGTGGATGCCCGCATCGGAAGCAACAAGAAGCTCTCTTTGCGGTTTGGAAGCAGCATGGTTCAGCCTGTAGTGCGTAGCAAGGGCCCTCGCGAACTTTTCCGTGTATTGCCTAAGCTTGCAAGGACACATATAAATCATTTCACCTGCCACGGTCAATCATGCTAGCATGACAATCCTGATCACACACAGCCTAGTCACTGGGAATCTTTGAGCAGCTTGGGCAAGCCAGTGAACTTCTTCTTCACACTTCGCCCATGTGCACTTCTACTCTGCGAGTGCACTGCAAGCTTTATTGTCTTCATCTTTGTTCTCTCCTCTACACTCAGATATCCTGCTCTGGCCACCAAGGCTTCAACCAAGCCTTGCCAATTCGACAGCAGCATGTGCCTCTTCAGCGAAGGGCTGCCGAATCGAATCATGTAGAAGAAGCCCTTGAAGACCTTGTCCGAGTTGGTGGGGTTGTAAACAGGCATTAGAATGAACACATTGTATTGCATATTCATCGAGGACTGTAGGCATGCCTAGTAGCAGGGGCTCTTTCCAGCAGCCATTGAAATGCCGGGTGGTCCACAAGACATGTCTGCGAGGGCTGCTCCAAAACCCATCGTCCATTACGAGCACAAATGACCAGGATAATCATCGCTACTCGTACCAGCAAAACATTCCCCACATGCACGAAACCGTAGCCCTCGTTGCCCTTCGGCGTGATATGATTTCTCCCGGAAGTGCTTCTTGACCTCAGAGAAAGGCAGACATACACCGTATATAGATTGCATATTGGCATGCACTAAGCACAAACCCCTAAAACATTGCACCAAGCCACATCACTGAGTAAGATGCACATGGGAGGCCAATGACACAGAGGCCTGTATCCATCTTGAGACGACGAGCTTCATTCAGGGCCGTCCTTATAGTGAGAACACAGGTCCAGGCTCCCCAACACACATGTAGACTCACTTCACAGCTTTCAGTCTAGTCTAGTCACAGGAAGCCAGATATGCTCATCAAATCATGGCCCATCGGATCAGTTTCCAAATCCAGGGATGTTCCAATCAGACCCAGATCCTGAGGGAATAGATCTTCGGTTGATTTCGGATTCGAAAGACTCCTCCTGACAATCCCAGGTTCGGTGCGGAAGCTGGCGCCGATAGAATCGCAGCCAGAGAAAAGGTGCAAGAAATCAAGGTCCTGTGCGGGCTCATCGGAATTCTGGTAAATATCTTATAATCTAGATGGGAGACGTGGCAGAATGCATCATAGAAGCAGTCCTCATTTTGTAGGGCCTTTTCGTGAAAGGCCAGGAGCACCACACACATGATCAATTGCAGCGGGGCACCCCATCGTAACAGCTCTGCTACGACCATGGCCACTGGTGGCCCCAGCTGTGATCTAAAGCGTAGCAGCCTGGAGCCCTGTGCACAGAAAGAGAGTTTGAATGCAGAACATGACAGGCTCAATTTGGTATGATACACAGAAAGCGATTTCAGGCTTTGAATGATGCCGGGCACTTGCAGCTGGTCTCAGGTTGTCTCAGGTGCATTTCGAATTGTAGACCAGAATTTACACTGCAGAAATTTGCACATGGATTAAAGCTGCAGAGCCTGAAAGCTAAATGAAGCGTCGTCGCTTCAATTCGTTCTGCGATAAGCCTTCCAGCCAGGAAGCCCTTGCAGAGCTCTGATTCCACTTTTGACAAGCTTCCTTCCATGAGAAGCCCCGGTCGCGCTTCCTTGCAATAAACCTTAAGCGAGCTTCTTTGTAGGATCCAGGCACATATGCACAATCCGACGTCATCGTCCTCTTCATGCGCTGCATGGCCTCGGTTTCCTCGCCCTTCTTATCTGTGCTGGGATCTTGTTTCTCCTTCTTGGGGTCCTTCTTCGCCTGAACCTTTGAAGCTGTGCAATTCTTGGAGTCCTGGGCCTTCTTCGCTTTGGGCTTTTTGGAGGCTTTGGCCTTCTTATGCCCGTCAGGATCCTCCTCATCGCCATCGCCGGGTCCATTTGCAGCACCGCCCTCATCATCTTTGGCCCACCTAGCTCGACTGCAAAATGACGACCCACCCGCAAGCAACCCAACAGCAACATCAACACAGTTCTTGAAATTGACATGGAGCACAACACTATTGAAAATGCAACCGAGCAACTGTACACTGGGCAGGAACGGCTTTGCGGGCTCCGAAGGTATCAAGGTCCGAAGGCTATCCAGAACCTGCAGTCTCTATATTTAGCAAATTGAAATCACAACAGGCATCCCCCCAATATTGAATACACATCAGACAAGAAGCCTTCTCGGGAAGCATCTTCTCCTCAATATCCTTCTGGACACCTTTCTTGGGCTTCTTATTTTTCGAAACTGCTTTGGGGTCCGCAGCTTCTGCCGTCGATGCCGCAGCAGGCTCCTGCTTGGCACACTTGGCTTGCAGCCTGGCCAAGACCATCCTCGGATATAGCATTGTTCAAGCTGATGAAGACAACACTCGGACTGTTCAAGGCAGCATGCCAGCATCCACCTAAAACTAACTATTCCACGAAAAGGCTCTGCATCTCACCAGTCAAAGCTGGGATATGGAGCGGCGGGGTCACCACCGAGCTGGAGCTCTCAACCTTGTGTTCATTGGAGTGCAAATGGCAACACAAAGAGACATCCCACTGAACAAATATTGGGAAGAAGCTGCATCGTCGTGCTCGGCCAAAGAAGACAGAGCAGCATCTTCATCTTCAGGTGATTGGCTGTCCTCCTCACCCTCCGACTCAGAATCCTTTGCGTGCTGGATTGCTAATGTGGCTGCACACCGTCATGCTTGGGCCAAGTGCACAAGTATAGAAATCACAAGCCCAGACTCCTCACCATCCAGGTATCCAGCCAGCTCAGCCTTCAATTCCCGGAGCTGGGCCTGATGGGAACTCCTTGCTCGACGGGCAAGGTGCTTGAACTTGGTCACCTCGGCTACAGACAGGCAAAGGAACCCATTTCGATCGGAACAAATCCCACTCTAGCTGTAAGACCAGCCGCAAGCTTCCGGATTGCTTGGCCAGTTCGACAGGCCCAGTTCTGGACGGCAGGTGCACTTATGAGCACACCTTTAGGCAAGATCTTGTTGTTGTTCACAAAATGCAGTATCGCATCGCTGTATATATAAGCGCTCTGGCGCTTGCGCGACTTCAGCTGTCCTCTCACTGCTGCAGCAATGACCTTAGTATGTTGAGCAACAAGCTTTGATCTGTATGCACTACATTCCATATCCCATGATATATTCAGATGGGGCACTCTCGGGTTGGCGATGCAATCTTTGCGTGAAACCACCTTCCTTTTTGTGAGCAGCTTGCCCGATGGGTCGATCACCATGTTCAAGCCTGCCTCAGATTGCAAATATTGAGCTGCAAGAACTCACGCAAAACAACATGTATATATATAATATAATTCTTCAAAGGTGCCGAAATGAGGGACGGCTCCTTGCTCAGCTCCTCCGAGACACGTACAGCCTCAGAGCCTGGTTCAAAGTGAACCTTTTCAGGAATCACAGCAGCCATGGCTAGCAAAAGGCGAACCCCAGTGCACAGGAAATTTGCAATGCCCGAGGTCAGGACC